CAATAGAGTTCGAAGAGACCACGTGGGCCGTCTAGTCCAACTCCCTGCCATACAGGAAAAGTACATTCAAAGTACCCCTGTTAGATGGCCATCTAGCCTCTGTTTAAAAGCCTTCAAGGAAGAGGCTTCCACCACACTCTGAGACAGAGAGTTCCACTACTGATCAGCTCTTACAGCCAGGAAGTTCTTCTTAATGTTCAGGTGGAATCTCCTTTCCTGTAATTTGAACCCATTGCTACAAATCCTAGTTTCCAGGGCAGCAGAAAAAAAAGCCTGCTCCCTCTTCCTTATGACTTATTCACATTTACATGGCTATAATGTCTCCTTTCAAATTTCTCTTCAGCAGACCAAATATGCCCAGTTCTTTAAGATGCTCCTCATAGGGCATGTTCTCTAGACCTTTAATCAATTTAGTTGCCCTCCTCTGGACTCCTTCCAATTGTCAATATCTCTTTTTGAACTATAGTGCTCAGAATTGGACACAGTACTCCAGGTGAGGTCTGACCAAAGCAGAATAGAGAGGCATCATGACATCCCTTGATCTAGGCACTATACTCCTGATGCAGCCCAAAATCCCATTGGCTTTTTAGCTGCTGCATCACACTGTTGACTCATGTTCAACTTGTTGTCCATGAAGATTCCAATATCTTTTTCACATGTACTGTTGTTTAGCCAGGCGTCACCCTTTCTGTATCTTTGCATTTCATTTTTTCTGCCTAAGTTTGTCCTTGCTGGAATTCATTTTGTTAATTTTGGCCCAGCTCTTTAATCTGTTAAGGTCATTTTGAATTCTGATTCTGTCCTCTGGAGTATTAGCTAACCCTCCTAATTTGGTGTCATCTGAGAACTTGATAAGCATGTCCTCTAAATCTTCATGTAAGTCATTAATAAAGATGTTGTACAGTACTGATACCAGGACCAAACCCTGCAGCACTCCACTAGTCACTTCTTTCCGGAATGAAGATGAACCATTGGTAAGCACCCTTTGGGTTTGGTCACTTAACCAATTACAGATCCACCTAACAGTAGCATTGCTTTGCCCACATTGGACTAGTTTGTTTACAAGAAGGTCATGGAGACCTTGTTGAAGGCCTTACTGAAAACAAGATATGCTGCATCCACTGCATTCCCTGCATCTACCAAGCTTGTAACTCTATCATACATACCACTTTGCTTTCTGATGGTGGCTCCCCCTTCTCTATCTTTTCCTTTTTGAGGCAGTCTCCTCCATCTAATGACAAGATGAGTCTTCATTTTTCTATAAAGGACATGGAAACTAATAATTTCCCCAGAGCTGAAACCCAGCATAAAATATGCCCCATCTTCTGTTAACAATCAATAGCAGAGCTTCAGCTATGTTAATACCTTAACATTTTATAGCATTCACTCTATATGTGACTAGTCCATTTTACAGACATCTGAAAATAACAATACCAAGTCTGGGCTTCAAAGATTTGGATGGGAATACTGGTAACACTATAAGATATTGTCACAGGCTAAAACATTATTTGTTTACATTATTCAGACATCTGGAAACTGTGTAAAATCCAACACAAGTTTAAGTGGGATTTATGTCAAAATATGAGCCAAGATTTGAAAGCAGTTTGATACCACTGCACATTATCAACCCCACTATGTTTTCATGACCTCTTGAGAAATGAAATACTTTTATTTGGATACTTGCTCATTTGGAACAATGAGCCAATATTGAGCTGCTTGTACCCCATGCACCAGAATTAGAACAACAGAAGGAAGAAATAAATAAATGCCAAAACAACTAATCTATCAACAAAAGAAACATCATTTGCTATCCGTGGATTTGGCTCCCTATTATAAAGCTCCAGAACAGCAACAGCAATTAAAAGGAAATGATAAATGTTCAAAAAAAATTCTGAGTATAAAACTATTCTAAGTTGTTCTGTGGATGCCAGCTGCACTGTACCTTTAAAAGTGCTGAATTCTAATCAAGTTTCGTTAGCTGTCTACTCCATCATTTGTGTTAGTTTTTTTTCCTATTTAGAACAAAGGAAAAATAACCCAATGCTCCATGTTCTTGGATTTTTCTTTGTCTCAAGTATTTTAACTGATATTTTGACTTGACATAGAAAACAGAATCAAAGAACATTAACTTCTTTTCAGTGTTACCTGGCTGTCTTGCATGGTATTGTCTTATCTGAAAAGGTGGAGCTTTAATGATCTTATCAGTCTGAAACAATGAGGTACAGTAACAGGCTTTGCAGCTTTGGAAATTATAGACCACATGTTCTTGCACTCTTTCTGCATGTGGCTGAAAAGTAGTAGTTGGAATAATAGAATCCTATAGTTGAAAGAGACCACCAGGGCCATCCAGTCCAACCCTTTTCTGCAATGCAGAAACACACAATCAGTGCACTTCCTGAGAGATGACCAGCTAGCCTCTGTTTAAAAACCTCCAGAGAAGAAGACTTCACTATACTCTCAGGCAGCATATTCCACCGTCGAACAGCTTTTACTATCAGGATGTTCTTCATAATGTTTAGGTGGAATCTCTTTTCCTGTAATTTTGATCCATTGCTTCATGTCCTGGTCTCCAGAGCAGCCGAAAACATGCTTGTTCCCTCCTCATTGTGACATCCTTTCAGATATTTAATCATGGCTATCATGTTTCCTCTCAACTTTCTCTTTGTGTAGTAGTTCTCTCATAAACTTTTTTCCACATGTTTGCCATGTTTCGATTTTTGTTGTTTTGGACACTTCCTGCTTTGTTAAGTGAACGGGTTTTCAGTTTATCTAAGCTCTGCATTGTCCTAGTACTTTTATCAGCACATACTGCTTTGGCCTCTTTATCTGTTTTTAAATCCAAATTTCCTGTTTGTACAAGAGTCAGATCTTTGTGTAAGTGTTCCAAGGTTTAAAGGTAGTTGAGATTAGTTGAAAATCTAAGAATCACTATTCCATCCAGTAGTTATACCCAGAGTTAAACTGACTGGTGAAACTTGCTGATAACTAGGGGAACAAACTACCCTGAATGGAAGGAGCTATACAGAAAATCTGGCGCTTCTGTAGGGTTAGGACATAAGATGCCCACAAGTGAAAAAAACCCCCACAAATTTTAAAACTGTTTGTCACCTTGGAGGAGACTGGCCATTGAATGGCACTGGAGAACCTAGAGGTTGCTAGATGTGTGTATAGGCATTTCAGTGCTCTCCAGAAGGACTCCTATGATCTTCCATTAACTTTCATGAAGACTGAAAAAGTAAAATAGGAGAGAATGTGTTGTTTTGTAAGCTCAGGTTACCTTGATTTTCATTACAAATCAATTGAATTCCTTTGTTGGGAGAGAAGTATGTATATAGTTCTGGTGCTATAGGTTTAAAATGCAATCATTCATCCTAGAATAAACTCACAGAATCCATAAATATTGGCCCTGTTGTTGTTGCATGCCTTCAATTCATTTCCAAGTTATGGCGACCCTAAAGTGAATCCATCATGGGGTTTCTTGGCAGGATTTGTTTACTATTCCCCAACCGATTCATTGTCAGTAAGATCTAGCCTGTTTGGGACTCTTATTGGATTTGGGCTTCAGTATTTGCCTTAGCTTGCATTAGCTTGCATTAGCAGAAGGTGTTGTTGGGGGATACCTGCTCAGACCTGCAGCCATTGTCTTGTGGGGCCCCGCAGGGTTCAGTATTGTCCCTCATGCTGTTTAACATCTACATGAAGCTATAGGGAGAGATCATCTGGAATTTTGGAGTTCAATGTCATCTGTACGCAGATGACGTACAATGCTATCACTCCTTTCCACCTGCTAGTAAGGAGGTTGTTCAGGTCCTGAACCAGTGCTTGGTAGCTGGTATGGATGAGGGTGAACAAATTGAAATTGAATCCAGACAAGAAAAAGGAATTCCTAGTCAGTCGAAAGGCTAAACAGGATATATGGTTACAGTCTGTGCTGGATGGGGTTACAATCCCTCTGGCGGCACAGGTTTGCAGCTTGGAAGTGATCCTGGACTCATCACTGAGCCTGGAACCCCAGGTTTCAGTGGTGTCCAGGGGAGCTGTCACACAATTAAAACTTGTGTGCCAGTTGGGCCGTACCTCAGGAAGTCAGACTTGGCCACGGTGGTCCACGCTCTTGTTACATCGAGAATAGACTACTGCAATGTGCTTTATGTGGGGTTGCCTTTGAAGACTATTTGGAAGGTTCAAGTGGTACAATGAGCAGCAGCCAGATTTCTCACCAGAGCAGGATACATGGAGCACATGACCTCCTGTTGCGTCAGCTGCAGTAGCTGCCAGTCTGCTTCCGAGCACAATTCAAAATGCTAGCTTTAGCCTATAAAGCCCTAAATAGTTCTGGCCCAGCTTACCTGTCTGAACGAATCTCTCTCTATGAACCATCACAGAGGTTAAGATATTCTGGGGAGGCCCTGCTCTCAGTCCCACCTCTTTCACAAGTGCAGTCGGTGGGGACGAGAGACAGGGCCTTCTCAGTGGTGGCTCCTCTGCTCTGGAACTCTCTCCCCACTGAGATTAGATCAGTACCCTCCCTCTTGGCCTTCAGAAAGAAAACAAAGACATGGTAAAGTAAAGTAATGCAGTATAAAGTAATGCAGTATAAAAATAATTAGGAAATATGTGCAATTTGACAATTTGGGATAGCTACTACGGCTTACGAATTTGGGATCATGTGATTTTAATGTTTATACTAGGATGTTTTAATGCTATGTTTTAATGTTGCTTATGTTTTATGTTTAATGGTCTTAATTGATTTTAACTCATAGTTACATGTTATTGTTTAGATATTATGAATGTTTGACATTGAGTTTTGCTATTATGTTTTAAACTGCTTTGAGTCCTCCCAGGGGTGAGAAAAGTGGTATATAAATACAATAAATAAATAATAGCTTTGGACTATGCCTGTAGGATTCATAGTCCCAAGTAAGCATCAGAATATCAATAAAAGTGATTCTCCCCACAGTTTAGCAGTGTAAAATTAATATCTTCTGTTCTTACTTTAGTGACTGTGTAACATGCAAGCCATTGATCCCAGAGGGAACTCTCCTGCCTTCTACCAGCCTCAGAATGGCAGCAGCCATAAATCTTCTGGATATGTTCCAGGAAGAATTGCTCCATTCCGTCCTCCACCTCCTCCAAAGAGCCAAGCTTCAGCCAAATTTACCTCTGCAAGACAAGAAGCTCGGGCAACAATAGCCTCTTCGGCAGATGAGCAGCGCCATCAAGCAGAAGCCAGCAGAAAGAAGCGGCACAAAAACACACTCATTTGCTTTGCTATGTCTAGTTTTTCATTTTTTCTTGCACTTGGAATTATTTTGGGGATTGCATCAAAATATGCTCCTGATGGTGAGTTATATCAACATGTTTTATGCTTTCTTTTTTCACCTGTACAAATGGGACAGGGAGGAGGAATCTCAAATTTTCTCAGTTTCATTCTGGAAGGGAAAAAAAAGTCATATATGATTTATGTGAATACAACATGACTGTTTCCCTGTGCATCAACAAAGGAAATAACATTTCTCATGTTAGCATTGCTAATTGTGATAAGCACTGAAAGTTACACACAATTAAACTCCTTTATGTTGCTACGATATGCAGCAGTGTCGCACCATGTCTGTGGTCCTGGTAGAACTATTGTTGACATCTATATAGTTCTGCCCTAAACATTAAATTATCACCCAGAACAATTATCTCTTGTGAAGTGCCTAAGCACATTATGTATTTTCCAGCAACACAATGACTACCAAGAGCTTTGGAAGGAACACCTAGTAAGCAGGATTTGCCTTTGTCACAGATTAACTCTCCTGAAACAAGCAGTCCCTGAGTTACAAACATCTAATTTGCTAATGACTCATAGTTAAGAACGGGGGTGAGACAACAGGAAATAAGAGAAATCTACCCCCTGGAAGGGAAATTCACTCCTGAAAGAGTTATCATGGGGAAAAGCTGTCTCAACTGAAGCTTTTTCACCAATCCCTGTTTCCATAGCAATCTATTTTTTTTCAAAATCCAATTATCACAGAGACAGAAAATGAGGTGAAATCTTCTGAATAGGGGCACAGACAGCAAAGCTAACCCTTCCCTATGCTATCCAAAGCGCATATATATATGGCTGGAGTTACTCTTTAAAAAAAATACCTGTTCTGATGTACATACACATTCAGTTTAAGAACCTACAGAACCCATCTTGTTCCTAACTTGGAGACTGCCTATTTATGATAGTAATAGAATGTAGACATGGCATCTAGATAATTTATTCAACATCTTTAAAAGAGTGGAAACAGAAAGGATATCCAGTTCAATCTGAAGAGTTTAAAGGGAAAATAAAGAATAGAATGAATGTGTGTGTGGAATTGTGCCATCCCACCAACCCAGCCCTAGGGGTTCCTTGAAGCATACCGAGGGACTCCGTGGTTCATTTTTCCTCCTCCTTTTCTCCCTCCAAGCTTTCTCTCCTCTTTCCTGCTCCTCTCCCTTCCTCCACCTCCCTTGCTCCCAAAAGCTTTCTTTCTCCACCTCTCCTGTCACCAAAAGCCTTTTTTTTCCCCTTGGCTTCCTTGCCGGCCAGATCTTTTTTCCTTTGCCTTGCTTGCTTCCCAAACCCTATCTACCTCCCACCACTCATGGGGTGCTTTGATTGTGCATTTCCTGCATGGCTGAAGGAGGCTGGACTGAATAGCCTCTGGAGTTTCTGTTGTTGTTGTTGTTTTACAAAGGCTGAGTGGACATCTGTTAGGGTGTTTTGATTGTGCTTTTCCTGCATGGTAGAAGGGGATTGAACCAATCAGGTGGCCCCTGGGGTTTCTGTTGTTGTTGTTGTTGAGGTTTCTGTTGTTGTTGTTATTGTTGTTACTATTACAAAGACTGGGTGACCATCTGTTGGGGGTACTTTGTGTTTTTCCTGCATGGCAGAAGGGGATTGGGCTGGATGGCCCCTGAGGTCTTCCACTGAAATACTCTTTATGTTGGTCAAAAGGTTTGCCCATGCCTGATATATATACATTATATATAATATATATAATGCCATATAAACACATTTCTTGGGGCTCCATGAGAAACTTTTGCTTCAAAAAGGGTTCCACTACTGAAAAAGTTTGAGAACCCCTGCTTCAACCCCATTCACATCTGTGTGCCATAGAGAACTGCAGCTAATGTAGGTAGGAGAGCCAATTTTGATTTGCCCCCTACCCATCCTATTATCTACTGAATTCTACATAGTTTATCAGATATTTTAGTTAGGCTCAGTTTTCATTGTGCAATCAACACAAATGAAATCCAGTGGTGAATTCATTCTGAGTTGGCAGCACCAGAGGTTCACAGACCTGACATAGCTTCCATGTGTTATTCTGTTCAAATAATTATTTATGAAAACATTATGATAATATCATGTGAAGTTACAATGTATGGATTTCCCCCTATAAAATCTGACTTTCAACAGACCCCCAAAGACTGTAGAGTCCTTGCTACATGTGCAGATTGTATTTAAGAACCAAATTGGTGTTTATTTGACTTACAAAGACCTAAATGGTTTAGGGTGGGGTGGTAACACCTTAGTTGTATTGTTTTATATGACATTTGACCATTAAATGTTTTAATTGTGCATGTGTGTGCATTTTAAGTTAACTTGTTTTGTTATTTATGAGTGTTTTTATCAATTGTATATTGTTTTAGGAACTGGTAGGCTGATAATGATAATGTTATTCCAAATGATAAGTTCTTACATGGACGTCTTACTTGACCAGACCAATGTTAATCATTTCTTAAAGTATCTGCTATCCTTTAGTTTGTATCAGATCTGGGCTGTATTTGGAATTTAATCCAAGCAGAGAGAGAAAGACTTTCCAACAGTTTGAAATCAATCTTTTGTTTAGTTTTAAGTAAATATTTTTGGTTTCTAGTTGATGCAATTACAACTGCTATCTTTTTGTGGCAGAGTAATAGTACTGATCCTCAATGATAGGAGACATTATTTTCAATATTTCAATAAATTTCATCCAAGTGGACCTTGGATCTCCCACATCTGAATCCAGTATTGTGAGCCACTGCATTAATTCTGAGTAAACAACAAACAATTTGAGAATCAGCAGGAGGAAAACTCTACTGGTTCAGTCAAAGGTTCATCTAATTTTGCATTCTGTTTCTAACAAAGATCTGTCATGAATCTGAATGTAGCACGTTTTTAAAAGCCTGTGAAATTGTGCCACTGTCTGATGCATTTATATGGGGCTGTAAGCTGCTTTGTGAAGTCTTTACACTGAAGAGCGTGGTATTGAATCTTCAGAATAAATAATGTAGCCAAATTATTTCTTTGCAGATTGTGCCTTGAAGAATTGGGGCTAAATTCCACATTACTGATGGATTTGCATATTTTAACTTAGGAGGCTCTATACCAAGAAACTAAACTGCCTAAAAGCTCTTGCAATGAAAGGGGGAATAGAGCTAAGCAGGCCAAAGTAATTCTTTCAGCCAGCATGACTCAAATACGCATAATAACAGGAAGCAATTTCTAAAAATCAGCTAGAACCAATTGCAAAATTGGCTGTAAAGGAAGCAAATCCAACAGTAGCTTGCCATTCACAGTTGAAATGATTCAAAGTGAAGTATCCCTGATGGAATCATTGAATTGGTGATGAGGAGGGGTGAAAAGCAGAGAAATCCTTAAGATCCTGTAATAAATCAATACATTTTTCACAGGATTTTTTTGTGTGTGTGTCAGGAGGACACCTGGATGTTTTGATGTTTTATCATCCTTGTGAGAGTCTTCTCTCATGTCCCCGCATGGGGAGCTGGAGTTGACAGAGGGAGCTCATCCGTGCTCGCCCCTTTTTCGAACCTCTGACTTGTTAAGTAGTTGTATGTTTTTAGTTAAGTAGTTGTATGTTAGTAAGATGTTGTGTTATGGACCTGATTACTGTAACTGTCGTCTGTATGTTCTATGTTTTGTACACCGCCACGAGTCGCCTTCGGGCTGAGAGTGGCGGTCAATAAGTGCAAATAATAAATAAATAATAAATAAATTGTCAGCCTTAAGTTCTGCTGGCTCAAGAGTTATTGATAGCCTATTTTGAGAGGACCCACCACAGAAATTATTTAAATGAATAGCCTGTATACTTCCTCGGAAAAAATACCAAAAATAAAGAACAGACGCTCCTGAAATTTTCAGTGACATTACCACAGTTGCCATATGTGGAAGACAGAGCTGCTGACAAAGATAACACTAATTGGGGACCTTTGTGGGGCTGTCTCTGAAGGCCTGATTGTGACCTTGTCAGAGTCTAAATTGGTGTCACTGAAACCTCTGCTGAACTGCTGCTCGGTGATAACTGCTGAAGCTGTCAAGAAAGGGGAAGAAGGGCAGGCGAGTCAATTGATTTGCATGGAAGGAGATATTCAACTTACTTTAATTTAAATTCAGTGGAAGCAAGAGGAGGGAAGTTTCTCCATGAATATCTGCCAGTATTACATGGCAGTCGGGCTTCTGATGATATTTAGAAAGCCAGATTTGTGAAGATGGGGTGCCAAGAATATGCTTTATTCCTTGCATAAGTGCAGATTTTTTATTTTTCAAGCATTGCCAATTTCTGTCTTTGGTCTGTAAGTAGAAGTATATTTTTAAAATGTATTAGTTCAGACACAGGCTGGGAAAGATACAACTTTAAAATATCTTTTCTTATGTGTTTCTTATGTGTTTAAGTGTCTGAAGACACTTAAACAAAAACTTGATACATTTGGTAAAGGCTGTCGTTTAGATTTAGGGAACTATGACTGGTCCACAAGCCTTGAGATGCCAATCCTTGCTCTAAATCATTTCTACCATTCCCAGAATACTTTCATTGTAATCATTTTTATGTCCTAGAAAACTGTCCTGATCAGAATCCTCGCCTTAAGAATTGGAATCCTGGACAAGATAAAGAGAAGAAAATTGTACTCCGGAATGGAGATCTCTTTCGGCTGAACATGGATGCTACAGTGCACTCTATAGTCATACAGGATGGGGGTAGGTGCTATAATGAATCCCCTCCTCCTCCTTCCTTTCCTGCCTTTTTCCTGTTTCAAAGTGACTTAGAACAAGTTAAAAAATATGGGCAGTAATAACCCCACATTCATGGTGAATATGTTACTTGAAACCATGGAAATGACTGAACGCCATTAAATCACCTGACATACAGTAAGAGTTGCGTTGAAGGGCCAAGAGATTCCCAGGTTCTTCAACACAACTTTATGGTAGTTTCTTGGAAAGGTATATTATGGCATCACCAGGAGGACCTAGCAAGTTCTTAGAGAGACAATATTTCTCTGGGCGTGGGTAAGTAAAACCAAACCAACTGAAACTGTTGCTGTGAACCACTCTGAGTCGCCTAAGGGCTGAGAAGAGCGGTATACAAATGAGGTAAATAAATAAAGGTGTAGGTTTTGAGGTTATTGGGGGAGGGGGGAAGCTTCCTATTGTTAAAAATTGACAAAAGTTAAAAAAGATTGAATGATTTAAAAAGTGAAACCAGTTAAAAATATACACCATTAAACACCCCACCACACATACACACACACACCCCAGCACAATGTTTCGCAAGATCCAGCATGACCTTTAAGGGAGATGGGTCTTATACAGTCAGTCATTAAATGCCGGTCTAAACAGGCATATCTTTGTTCTGGAATAGAGAATTTGTCACCCATTAGATTTTACTGTACTTCACTTTTGGTTGTACCTGATTATTGGCTATGTTTGCTGGCTGTCACTTTTGCAGTTGACCAACATTACATAGTCTCCCTTTTATCTTAGGCCAGACTGAACATGACAAGGCACACTACCTGTGTCAGCTTCATTCATGTACAGCGTCCCACATAAAACTTGCATCTGAATGAAGGAACAAGAATTCTGCCCATTCTTGCCTTAGGGCATTAAGTTATCTCAAGCACTCTTTTGCCCAGCTTCATTCACGTTTAGGATCAGAACTGGACCTCCAAGGAACAGAGTGTGGGAGGGAGGAGGCGGGGTTCAGAAACCCTCACATTTGCTCTTTTAAAACCTTTTACTTTTTCCATCCCAACTCCACTTACTATCCAACTGGGACAGGCACCAAGAGCGACTGATGACTCCCATGTCATGGGGATAAGTCCCACCAGTTTTAATCTGAAATTTAAATGAGCTATCTAAGATGCTGAATCTTAGTCCCTCTAAAGTCTGGAATATGATTTATATAGGATTTACTATCCCACTACCATGGAGGTGTGCTTGTGGCATGCACATGAACTACAAATGTGGATGCCCTCAGCAAATATGAATGCCAGCATCATAGCAATTTGACCATTAAAGCATATTTTTCTTTCACTATAACTGTCACGTTTTTTTTTTGTGTCAGAAGAGACTTGAGAAACTGCACGTCACTTCTACTGTGAGAGAATTGGCCGTCTGCAAAGACGTTGCCCAGGGGATGGCCAAATGTTTTACTATCCTTGTGGAAGGCTTCTCTCATGTCCTCACTTGGGAAGCTGGAGCTGACAGAGGGAGCTCACCCCATCTCGCAGATTTGAACCACCGACCTTCAGGTCAGCAGTTCAGCTGGCATAAGGGTTTAACCCATTTTGCCACCATGGCTCCACCAAGTGTATAGTTATGTTGAATTGCATTGAATTGATGACCAGAGTTGATAATAACTTTCATTTTGTAACTGCCTATCCATATTAAATTATTTGTATTTTAAAGTGTTGGACATATATTAACTGTTTTTATAAGTGCAACCTAAAATACTACATTTTTTTAAAAAAAAGCAAAAATCCATTTGAGTTGTGTGGCATAGTCTCCATTAGACTAAAATGGTTTTATAAACAGACTCATTGCCAAACTGCCATTCTGTCATCATATTCCGGTAATTTTTCTTGCAGTAAATGCTGTCTGGAACATTTGGGTGGACTGTATCCTCAACATGGAAGTTGTATTATTATAGTTTAACAAGGTTCCAAGAAATGACAACTATTGTCCTGCAAATGACGTCCACACTATTAAAGATAGCTGTGCAACTTGGGAGTTTTTTTATTTAATGCAAGTGATAGTGGAACACAGGAACAGGCAAAATTGAATCACAAGAACAAAACAGCTCTTCCAAAAGGAAGTTTCCTCCCAGATTACTTCCTGTGCAGTAAAGGGGGAAATCAGAATTTAAAAAGAGTATTTTGAGAAAAGAACAAAGGAGAAGAGTATGTACTGTCTGTGACCAAAATGTGATCCTAGTTTAAGAGAGTTGGCATCCTTGCAATATGGAGGAAGGATTTCTCCCTAAGGATTATTTCACTGAGCAGCCCCTTCCATCAGTTCTTCAGTTTCACAAAATTGAAAAGATAGATGTGAAAACTCCTGTAGCACCATGTCAGCAGTTGTTTTTCTTAACGTTTTGACTATTCTTATAGTGCCTGCTGATCTTAGAGGAAAGAAAACATGACCATGTTACTTTTAAAACGGTCATATTTCTCCCTTCCTCTGTTAAAAGAAGCCTATACCTCTGCACAGCTTTCCTGTCTCGCTGTCTTGATTATTTTGTTACCTTGTTGATGTAGACCGTTTTCAGCTTTTATTACCGTCTGGATTCCTTTGTACATTTCCTGCCACTGCGCCAAGTGTATCAAATATAAACAAATTAAAAATACTGCCCAGTCATCAACATTTTAGGAGCCTGACTCAGCAGGATTTAGTTGGGAGCTTGGGAAGGACATGACTAGGCCTGTGGGAAGCAGTGCAGAATGTTTCATTCGGCTTCTCAGATATTCTCTTTGTTTTTCTGTATTTCTATTTGACCTAGAATCCCAAATTATACTGAGTACAATGGGTTACATTATACATTATTCTGTTTAGAGCAGATCCATTAAAATGAATGGAACTTATCAGTCAAAATGTAATCTCTTTAATTTCAGTGAGTCTACTCAAAATAGTACTACCATTGGATTTAGCTCACTGAGAATGCATTTGTATCTGTAGAATTAATGCAGTTTGACACCACTTTAATGCATTTTGATAACATTTTAATCATGGGAGTTGAAGTTTGGTAAGGCATCAGCACTCTGGCAGAGAATGGTGAAAACTTTGTAAAACTACAGCCCTCAGATTTCCATAGCATTGACCCATGATAGTTAAAGTGGTGTCAAACTGCATTTATTCTACAGTATAGATATACACCATGATGGTTTTCATCTGAAAATAGTTGTGTTTTGAGATCTAGCATTAACTCAATAGCCTTCTTGGAGCACTGGTTTGTATTTTACATCACAACAAAATGTTATTCCACAAAATATATTCAAATGCTCCTTCAGAGATTGCTTACTACCCAAATTATTGTTTCTTGCAGGATTACTTGTCTTTGGTGACGATGAGAAAGGATCCAGAAATATTACCCTGCAATCACGTTTTATCCTGATAAAGGATGGTGGAGCGCTTCATATTGGAGCAGAGAAATGCCGTTATAAATCCAAAGCAACTATCATTTTGTATGGCAAAAAGGATGACGGTAGTTATGTGCCAACATTTGGCGAAAAATTTGTGGGTGTGGGCCCTGGTGGAACACTGGAATTGCATGGATCTCAGACATTAGCGTGGACTTCTCTATCAAGGACTGTATATTCTTCAGGGCTGGCCTCTGGGTCATATACTTTTGAAAAGGAGTTTTTTCGAGGTCTAAATGTGAGAGTCATCGACCAAGACACAGCACAAGTTTTAGCAGCGGACAGGTTTGATACTCATGAATCTCAAGATGATAGCAGGAAACTTCAAGATTTTCTAAAAGCCCAAGATACTGGTCGTATTGTGGCGATTGCTGTGGGAGATTCAGCTGTAAAAAATCTATTGGATGAAACCAAGACAACCATACAGAATCTCCTGGGAAGTAAATTGATCAAAGGATTGAGTTACAGGTAAAAAGGGAAAAGATTACTTATTTCTTTGCTTTTGAAACTTAAAAGTCTTGTTTGAAAATTTGCATTCAAAGGTCAGTTCGGCTCTTCTCAATTCATGCAAAAGTATATGCATGGTGAATCAAACTCATTTGCTTCTTATTATCTTTTGTGCAGAAGTATTACAGGAAAGGCTTTTTAATTTGGCATTTTTAAAGTTCTAAACCTTTGTGACAAGTTAAAAGTGAACCCTGCAACTTCTTATAAATAGTAATAATAATAATTTTATTCTTATACATACAACAAAACAATCCATAAAACAAAACACATTAAAATAGGAGCATCATAAAATACAACATTCCAGATAAAAACATATTAAACATAAAAAGTAAAGCAAATTGTATTGGAGGGCCATCAGACCAAGTTCAACAAAACAATGGCCAAAATTTCTAAAATGGGCAAGACCAAACCATAAAAGGGCTGGGCAGGGGATAGTGCAAGCAGCATAACATGGGGCCGAGGAAGTGGATAAAGTGCAAAACAGAGTACTATCTGGCAACCTAAAAACTGGGCATATACAACTAGGGACTAATCCACCTTGTAAGCAATCTTGAGTCCCCCTCTGGGGTAGAGAAAGGTGGGGTATAAATAAGATAAATAAATACATAAATAATAATTCTTAAATGTATTGTCGAAGGCTTTCATGGCTGGAATCACTAGGTTCTTGTGGGTTTTTTCGGGCTATAGAGCCAGGTTCTAGAGGCATTTCTCCTGACGTTTCGCCTGCATCTATGGCAAGCATCCTCAGAGGTGTGAGGTCTGTTGGAAGTAGGAAAAATGGGTTTATATATCTGTGGAATGGCTGGGTGGGGCAAAGGACTTTTGTCTGCTGGGGCTAGCTGTGAATGTTTCAGCTGATCACCTTGATTAGCATTTAATGGCCTGCCTGAGCCTGGGAAAATCTCTTGCTGGGAGGTGTTAATCTGTGCCTGGTTGTTTCCTCTCTGTTGTTTAGCTGTTATAATTTTAGAGTTTTTTTAATACTGGTAGCCAGATTTTGTTCATTTTCATGGTCTCTTCCTTTCTGTTGAAATTGTCCACATGCTTGTGGATTTCAATGGCTCCTCTGTGTAGTCTGACATGGTGGTTGTTGGTGTGGTCCAGCATTTCTGTGTTCTCAAATAATATGCTGTGTCCAGGTTGGTTCATCAGGTGCTCTGCTATGGCTGACTTCTCTGGTTGAAGTAGTCTGCAGTGCCTTTCATGTTCCTTGATTCGTGTTTGGGCGCTGCGTTTGGTGATCCCTATGTAGACTATGGCAGGAACACTTTTCCTCTGGGTGGATCTTCATCTTTACTCTTGTGGCTTGTTCTTAGTCTTGCAGCTCTTCTGATGTCTGAGGTGGAGTATCCATTGGCCTGGAGAGCCCAGTTGAGGTGGTTCAGTTCATCTTGGAGGAGGTGGGGTTCGCAGATTCTTTTTGCACGGTCTGCCAAGGCTTTAATGGTGCTTCTTTTTTGACTTGGGTGATGGTTGGAGTTTTTATGTGGATATCTATATCTGTGTGTGTGGGTTTTCTGTAGACGGTGTGACCCAATTGTTGATCTGGTTTGCGGATGACTAGGACATCTAGAAAAGGCAGTCTTCCTTCATTTTCTTTTTCCATGGTGAACTGGATGTTTGGGTGGATGCTGTTAAGATGGTCCAGGAACCTGTTGAGTTCTTCTTCTCCATGGCTCCAGATGGTGAAGGTGTCATCCACATATCTGAACCATATCGTGATACCTTCACCATCTGGAGCCATGGAGAAGAAGAACTCACTACCTCTGAGGATGCTTGCCATAGATGCAGGCGAAACGTCAGGAGAAATGCCTCTAGAACATGGCTCTATAGCCCGAAAAAACCCACAAGAACCTAATTCTTAAATGCTTTCTGAAACATCTAGGTTTTCAAATCCCTACGGAAGGAAGACAGTATGGGGGCTTTCCTAATCTCCCTGGGGAGGGTGTTCCAAAGTCGGGGGCACCACCGAGAAGGCCCTCTCTCTCGTCCCCACCAGCCGTGCTTGTGACCGTGGTGGAAGTCAGAGGAGGGCCTCCCCAGCAGATCTTAGAGCCCACACTCTTGCCAAAGATACTCACTATCCTAATGGTGGTTTTATCATAACCAGTATCATAACAGTGGAAAACTTTTGAAACATATTTTGAATCAAAGGGAGGGAGGAACAAGAGTTTTGTGGTACATACGTGTAAGTTTAACCATTTCATTTCAGCAAAAAAGCTTGTGCATTACAACTCAATTTATGAAAGTGGCCTATAATCCATTAAATTTTATTCTGAAATAAATTTGTTGTTTCAAAGATGCCAGAAGATTTCCTTTCTCTTGCCTCCCCTTTTTATACTGAATGAAGGCTATTACCATCTCTTTAAAAATGTTACAGTGAAAGGCAATGTATTTTGGAAATGTGTCACAGGAAGATAACATTTTCATCTCCTTCCTGCCAGGGAGCAAAGCTGCAACAAGGACTAGCAATGTGAGTCCTGCTTCTGGTTGTTACATCCTCACCATTGGTGGCAGGAGTTTCTTTTAATATCATGAATGTTAAATGCTGCGTAGTACTGAGGCATGTCTGATACAACAATGGTCATCTTAGATTATATCTGGATGTCTAGTATATGAAATCAGAAACTACATAATAACCATAGAAAGACAAACCTAACAGTAGAATTTTGGCAGGATGTGAGGACTTAAGACCAGTAGCTATGGGGAACGTCTACTGGATATTGGTGTTTCTGCTAGAATTAGCAACCCACCCACCCTTCTGCACCCCCCCCCTTTTCCATCTCCAGAATTGTTCCAGAGGGTTACAAAATCCACTTGAACAAGTTTTTATTATTGTAAGAAGAGGAAAAGTCTGACTGGTGTTGGATACTGAAATATGTGACAATTTGCAAGGAAAAACAAACTCTCAGTCCTATTTTTAAAAGTATATTATTTTCCAATCTCAGTTCTTTGGCAGTACATTTTAACAACTAATGCTATAAAATTAAATTCTTTCCCCATAGAACATGAGGCAACCAGTACTACCTTAGTTGGTCTTCAGTTCCCCTCTGAACATATACCTGCACAGCCGAAAATGGCAGATCAATTTGTGACATGTGATTGTATTCATGCAGTCTCAGAAAAGTACTTGCATAAACCCTTTTAGAATTACATTCCTTTCATGAAGGATCTTGAAAGTGTGCTGTACCTGTTGAAATTCCTTGGTTGGCTTGCATTGTGTTCTGAAATGGCATTAAAGGTAATTGTGAGAGAGGAAAGAAGGGAATGGAATCCAAGCCTATAGATGAAACATGCTGAGATTGATTTACATTCAGCTTTCAGAGATCATTTATTATTTATTTATTTACTTTGCTTATATACCGCTGTATCTCAAGCCCGAAGGCGACTCACAGCGGTTCACAAACAGTAAAAACAGTAGAAACAGCAGTGGTTCCATACAACATATAACAATTGACTTAACACATTATCCATAAATTACCAATAAGCAATTACAATGCACAATTATTATGAAAAACAACTGTACCCAATCTTCTCATCATCCAAGCGTAGTCCAGGTTCGTCGTCCATTGTTCCATTCCTATATTCCATTACCAGATTGCACTAAATTACTCAAACGCCTGCACAAACATCCAGGTCTTGGATGATCATCTTGGATCATCATCTTGGATGATCATCTTGGGAAAGCTTTATTTAAAGTATATTTGTGATTCCAGTGGCGCAGGAGGTTAAACCACTGAGTTGCTGAGCTTGCTGAGTGAAAGGTCAGCAGTTCGAATCCAGGGAGTGGGGTGAGCTCCTGCTGTTAACCCCAGCTCCTGCCAACCTAGCAGTTCAAAAACGTGCAAATGTGAGTAGATCAACAGGTATTGCTTCGGCGGGAAAGTAATGGCGCTCCATGCAGTCATGCCAGCCACATGACCTTGGAGGTGTCTACAGACAACACTGGCTCTTTGGCTTAGAAATTGAGATTAGCACTACCCCCTAGAGTCAGACTCTATTAGACCTAATTTGAAGGGGAAACCTTTACCTTTTTTATTTGTGCTTAAATGGCAGGTTGCATTCAGTTGTATTGGTTTACCAACCGAACTGGCCTCACTTGAAAATGTATTCTCCTCCTATGCAGCACCTGTAAATATACCCAAAAGATTGGGGAGGAGGGCATAGAGGCAAATGGAGGTGAATGGAGTGAGAGAAGGAAAATTCTAGTTGCATGAATGCAAGTCTGCTGATGTGACCTTAATTGTCATCTTTCCATATTTCCCCTTGTTTCCGAAAGAAAGAAAGAAAGAAAGAAAGAAAGAAAGAAAGAAAGAAATTCCCCCTTGTTTCAAAAAGAAACCATTTTAGTACAATAAAAATATACATACAATGAAATGACATCCACAAAATGCATTATTCAGAAAATACCAGTGACCAAAAGTCTTCATCATCTACTTAGTTATGCATTTATAATAAAGTAGTATCACCTGGCTTGACCCCCACAATCTAATTTATTGACCATCAGCTACACTGAAGGAAGGAGACCTGCTCTGCTAGTGATCGAGACACAGTAAAATGACATTTCCATATCTTTCCTGCCACCGAACAAACCTGTAAAAGGAGCTTGAAACAGAGGTTATGCCTCTGATAAGCCCATCCTTGACTTGAGGAGGTGGAAATGGATTGCAAGTATTGTGTGGCTGATATCTGGTAAAGTAGGGTTGGGAGGGCAGTTAGATTCATGGCAATAGTACTGTAATTGTGACTACATAGTGATCATGAATATGAAGCAGTTCCGGATGGATAACCAGGTTGCACATCTGTAATTATGATGCTGAATTCCAGCCAATACCATAAAAACAGAATGAAAAAAGATTCCAAAATCAACAACCCATAAAACCCACAGAACCAAGAGAGAAGCCACAGTGTAAGAAAAACAACTTTTAAGATATTCATAATTAGGGGACTGAGTGTGTGTG